GCGGCTGGGCAGGGGATGCAGCAGGAGTCAGACTTGTTTTTCTCCTAGTTTTTCGCGCTGGTGTGTTGAGTAGTGGAAGGGCAAAGCGTTGAAGGAGAAAACAATCGCAGTTTGGGCGCGCTTCCGCGACTCCGAAAGCATTTCGGATGTGGTGGCTCTGCGCCGGCTTTGGAACCAGCACCCTGCTGCTGGTTTGCGCAGTGTGAAACTGCGCTGGTTTTGAAGCCAGCACCCCAGGAGCTGGAGTCATAGAATCAACCAGGTTGGAAGAGACCTCGAAGATCATCAAGTCCAACCCTACCGCCGTTAATAGTCCATGGCACTAAGTGCCACATCCAGTCTCGTCTTGAAAAACTCGGGGGATGGTGAATTCACCACCTCCCCGGGCAGCACATTCCAATGCCTGAGCTCCAGACTTGTAGTCTCCTGTGAGAACTTGCTGGGAAGTGCTGGATTCATTGGGCGTCAGACCCTGAAAACTGTATCTCAAAATTGCTCTTTGACTCTTAAGTACAGAATCAAATTTTGGGGAGCTGTGCAGATTTACAGTAAAGCAAATTCTAAGCTGTGATTTCAGCTGTCTCAAAGTTTTATTATGGCAGTGACCAGTGTAAATTATGTATGTAAGCCCCAAAACACCACAGCAGCAGTCAGCAGTGATTGGAGAGCCTTTTGTTCAAAATACTTTAGGTGTAAGGTAAAAGGAAGGTGCATTTGTTTCCTCTGTGAGTTGATGTAAGAGGACGTCGACATTCAGTTTAGAAATATATTTATTAATGGCAAATGTTCAGACCAGCTTTTGTGTTTGAGTCAAAATTTTGTTTATATTGCCTATATAATGTGTATGTTTGTGATGGCTGAGTAGCTAAAAAGGATTTTGCTTTGTCAGAAAAAAATCAGGAGGCCAATGCAGAGGAAGCACCAATTGTTTGTCCTGTTGAGATGTCCTGTATTCCATTGTTGATGGAACCGGCACGGTCCAGCTCTGAAGTACAGGGTGCTGCAAAAATGAGAAATAAAGATGCTGCCTTCAGACATTTGGTGGGTGCTTAATTTTTAAATGAAATTTTAACATTTGTAAGCTTGTGTCAAATGTTGAGAAGATGTTGTGTTCTCTATACCCTTTTTTTTCCTGAGAAGTAAATTGCTGCAATCCAAGTTGTGTACTCAAAATACCTGTTGCTTTATTGGTTGGGGTTGTGTGCTGTATGAGTACATAAATATGGTACAGGTGTGTTTTGGACTGACAGTGCTGGAGCTGAGTGTAGTGCTACAGAGCAAAGTCCAGTTCTGGTCTTTGGTCCTTATCAGTAACTGCCCCTCAGTACCTCTGAGGGCCTGTGGGAGTGAATGACTGTTCTTGCAACCAGCCCAAAAGCCTCTGGAATTTACACCCAGAGAGCCTGGAGCTGGACTGTGGGTGTCTTGTGGTGGCTCTAAGTAACATCTGTTTACAGTGTCCTGGCAGCCTGTTTCATTTGGATCATACAGCTGGGATGGAGTTGTGTTGTCAAGATCCATATAAACACAGGGGTAAAGAACTCCCCAGTTCTTCCCTGGCAGCAGCATGCTGTCTAGTAAAATAGAATTTTCAAAGTGAGCATATGTTGCTTTTTTTTTTAATGCTAAGTCCAGTGGCTTTCAGACAGTCTGATAAATAGTGTGTGGAGCTGGTGGGATTTTTCTTACACCTTCTGTTGTGTATCCAACAACACAGTGCTAAAGGGACACGTTGGTCAGCATTGTGGTGCAGTAGGGAACCACAGCACACAACAAATGAAATGTCAGCTTTGCTGTGGGTGAGATCCCTGGGGTGGATCTGTCAGCAAGTGGAGATTCAAGTGATAGTGCTGCTTTTAGTAAATAATGAACACAACCTTGGTGTATTTATGTTGTTCTTACAGATAAGATTTAGCCTGGTTACTTTCTGGAGAAAGGAGTTATAGAAATGCTAGCAAGACTTTTCTGTTTGTGTGGGTTTTTTTGACAAATAGGCTTTTGTTAAACCTGTTACTTCTCTTATCTCTATGTGTGGAAACTCTAGAGCAAGGTGCTGGTAAAGCTCTTCCATGAAACTTTCAGTTTGTAGCCTTTTATTTATTTTTTCAAAGGTCTAAAGAGTTTTGTGGTTGGTTATTTGTATTTATTTTTTTTACTACATGAAGATTTCTATAGGTGTTGTTTTTCTGAGTGAGAGTAAAGTAATAAACTGATTGATGCAATGGTCTACATACACTGAGCAGGTAGTTACCCAGGCTGTGTTTGAAAGACATAGCTGTGTACAAACTATGATCTAGTTTCCTCCCTTCTTCTGTAACTGGATAAAGGTACTAAACAGTAAATTTTGTTTCAGGTTCCTGGCTCTGATGGTAACGAAAGTGAACAGTCTAAATGTATTCAAAGAAAAAGAGTGCTTCCATCTTGGATGCTGGAAAGAGATCTGGTGCAGAGTGTTTCCGAGCCTGTAATGACAGGTAGGTTTGCAGTGTGGTTCAATTGCATCCCAATATGCATTTCTGTGCTTTGATATACTTTTCTTCAATTATAGTGGTGGTGGAAGTATTAATTTGTTAGTTCTCTTTCCATGGTCTGTGCCTGGCAGCTGACAGAGACTGACTTTTGTTGTCTCATTTGTCATCAGTCCTATGGGAATGACAGAGCTCTTTGTCATCAGGGGATTTTCTTTCTGACTTTTTTTTAATGCCAGATAATAAACTCTCTTTGGGCAGCTGAGCATTGGATGTTCTGGATCCCTTTCCTATAAACTTGCCAGTTTTGGTTTGTATGTGAATTCTAGGTAGATTCTGTACCTTTAATTGTAAGCCTTCTTCACACTTAAGTCACTAATGTTTTGCCATTCTAAATTTAGATTCTAATTTCACAGGTTTTACAAGTAGTGGTTTTTTGGGTGGTGCATGTATAAACTGATGGTCTGAAGGGATTCTTACACCAAAGGTCTGTGGTAAGTCATCCTTGCACGTGTTATATATTCAGTCAGCTTTGGTGTAAATGAAATTGTCGATCATACTGATACATTCAGTCCAGAACATCCTTTGCCACATATTTATTGTTTGCCTCCAAATTCCCTCTGCAAATGTTTCATTCTCAAACATACCTTTTACTCCTATCAGCAGTAAGTGAAAAATGTGTTGTTGAAACAGCACAGGCACAACTCATGTCATGTGCCCAGTGTCCTTCAACATAGCTTTAGCTTTCTAATGTGGTCAGGATTTCACTGTAAAAAGTTGCATTCCAAAAGTGTAGTGTTTTTTTTTTTTGTTTTTTTTTTTTTTTTTTTTTTTTTTTTTTTTTTTTTTTTTTTTTTTTTTTTTTTTTTTTTTTTTTTTTTTTTTTTTTTGGGTTTTTTTTTTTTTTTTTTTTTTTTGTTTTTTTTTTTGTAGGTAGTAGAAAGAAAAAATGCCAAGGAAGGGAAGAAAGTGATACGGAGTCATTAAAAATGGAAGTAAATGTGCAGCAGAAAAAAAGACTGGCTTCTGGAGAAAGTATAGAGGATTCAGAAGGTGAAGAGCAAGATCAAGGGAAAAGGAGCTGCCTTTCCATCCCTGTCCCTTCATCTCAGGTAACTTTCTGGCTCAGGGCAGAACCATGATACTGCAAAAAATGAGGATGTAGTTGGCAATGTCACATTGAAGTTTGGGTCTGGAACATAACTATGTGTTCTGCTTGTGATTTGTTGTTTGAAATGCCAGTCCATTGGACAGCTCTGTAGGTAGCAAGGATCGTGAAGTCCTCAGAGGTTGTTTTTCAGCATGTCCTTCCTGGTATCTGGGACTCAGGCTCCAAATATTCCACAGAAATACCAGACTTCCAGCTTTGCAGCCAGAGGCAGGGAGACATGGGCCAAAGCACAGGTCCTAGGAGTGGTTTGCTTTGTGTAGTTTCTTTTTCTGAGAACCTTTAGAGATAGGTGATGCTGTGACACCAATATAATGCAACACTGGCCTTTGCCCAAGCACTTGCCATTCTAGTAGGTGCAGTTTTGTGGTCAGATAATGATGGTGTGTGGCTCAGCAGCTGCTGTGTTTTGGAGGAAGGTGCTCCTGCCACTGTCTGAAAATCTGAGTCAAAGTGGGGGAAAACACCTGATCTCTGGCAATGAGTGAATTTCAGAGCAGCTGGTCAGTGTCTGTGTGACCTCTCAGTACAGCTGGGTTTACAGGCAGCCAGATCCTTACTGACAGCACCCTGGGAGTCATGGAAAGAGCCAAAGTCATTGCCAAAGCATGTTCTGGTGAGGGCAAACTGAGGCTTCACTGACTTGTTTCCTTTCAGTGAACCACCTAGGGAGGTGTTTTTAATGTGTAGCATTAGAGTTGCCTGGGTCTGTTCTAGGACCTGATAAAATGCTTTTGACACTGAAGGCTGCTGGGTTTTTGATTTTGTTTTTTAATTAAATCTCGAGGTTAATTGAAGCAAACTGCTCATTGACAGCAAACCCTTCAGAGCAGTTTTGGTGTGATTTAGTGGTTGATCTGAAAAAGTGTTCCAAGTCTGGTGAGCTTTGCTGTACACTAGGTACATTAATAACAGCTGCCAAGCTGTTTTCTCTGTCAGATTGTGAGTGACTACACAATGAATTACTCCATTTTGCAATTTGTAAGTAGGCAGCCTTACTTATTTTCACCTAATAATTTCATAAATCAATTTAATCTGAAGTACAGAGTAAGAAATTGCCTTCAGGACTTTACAGAAAAACTAATGGGTTAGTGAAAGCAAAAGTAATAACCAGAGAGAGCTCTGAAAGACTGTAATTTTGATATCAAAGCCCAAATCACGGCCCTGCTATTGTGAGACGACTGAGAAAATGTTCTGTGGGGAAGGAAAGGAAGATCCTCTGAGTTGTTTCAAGCTCCAGCAGCCGCGGGAGGGCAGTGAGGGCCCGTCCGTGCTGTCCATTGCCGGAGTAGCTCTGGTTTCCTGGATCGCGTCCTGGTTTGTAACCGATCCCAGTGAATGCGAGTGTTTAGTCTCGTTATCTACAATACGGGAAGTATGTGTCAGAGAAGTCACAAGTGGGAGAGGCAAATTAGAGTAATTTACGCCTCCTTTTGCTAAGGAAGGCTGATTTCTAAAGCTGCACTTGTTTGCTGAGCGTTATTTTGGGAGCTGTCTTTGCCTCCAACTTGAGTTACTAAATATGCTGCTGTCAGGATCATCTGATATCAATGCTGACTTTGCCCTTTTCTAATCCCATTACTACTCAAATGAAGTTGTCTCTAGTTTTGGATAACATGAGGTTTGCATTGAAAGGAAGAAAATCAAATAGGAAACCACAGGCTGATTTTCAAGCTCTGCTGAACACATCCATGTAAACTAAGTATAAATTTACTGGAGGGAGAACTTAGATACAAACCTGTAGAGAGCAAAGACCTTGGAATACTTCTGTGATATATCAAAGTAGTTCAGCCTTCAGTGTAGATATGCTTCCAGGTAACATCTCAGTTGTCAAGACAGTGTTCCTGTCTTGGATATGTATCTCATGGTCTTTTTCTAAAGCACATGTCTTTTATTTTAAATGTGCATTTGTTCCAAAGTTTAAAATGCAGTGTGTGTCAGAACTGAAATCTTTGCCTGATGGTTTCTATATCAGACGTTTATGATTTAGAGTCCTGAGCATTTAAGATGCACACCTTGAGCTTAATCCCACCCCAGTGTATCATGAATTCCCATATATCTTCCATATATAGATAAATATGTTTCATTTGTCTTGGTGCTCAATGCATTGATTAGAATTGATGGTTGTACAGGAATGTACATTGTTCTGGAGTCAACCAGCTCTTCACCTGTGTAATCTCCATTAATTTTTCAGGAGCAGTACTTTTAATTGGAAGTTAATTTAAAGTCTTTGGACTGTTTGCAAACTGAGGTGGTGAGAGAGGAGCTCGTGTGTGAGGGAATTGAAGCTGAGGGTGGGAGTTCTAGGATAAGTTTGTGTTCAAAGAGTTTGTGTTGTGTGTTTTCTTAACTCGAGCCTTTCATTCAGCAGCTGTATTTAGCAGCAAGCTTGAGCTTGGAAAGTGGAATAGAAGACTTTAAAGGCTGATCCAGTTGAACTTTCAAGGTCCTTTCCAGCCTGGGCTGTTCTGTGATTCAGGAATGATGAGGCACAGTTTGACCATAAAACTTTTAATTCTGAAGAGTATACATTTTCAGATCCTTCAAAATGTAACCTTGTTCCACAGAATACATCTGGATTTCATCTTGAGAATACCACGACAGATGTGGAAGGAAATGGCAAGACTGGAACAAAAAAACGTGGAAGTTCTCTGGGAGAAAATGGTAGGCAGCTGCATAGCCAGTGGTCTGAAAGAGTAGGTCAGATTTCCAGTAAGGACAGTAGAATTGAGGAAGCAGAAAACAAAGCACAGATTACTGGGTCTACAAGCCAACAAGCTCCCTGGGGCAGGACTTCCCAATGTTTTGGTGCCCAGGAAGGGATTCTTGAGCCTGATGCAAATCTGGATTACAAGACTGAGATTTCTGATTCAACCAAAAGTGCAGATGCTTCAGAAAACTCCAAACAGATCCAGCATAAGAGGACACCTTGCATGTATGGAAGTGGCTGTTACAGGTAAAGCAAAACTAAAACTAGCCTGAGCTAGCTTGTTATTAAGAAGTAATGTATTAGCTGTGGAAGAAAAAGCTGTAAAGTTGTTAGAAACTTTGGTTTGTGAAAAAATTTTGTGGTGAACAGGGAACTGGTGAGAAACAAAGGGAAGGACAAGAATTTTAGAAGGATAAAAGGTGAGGCTGGGATGTCTTGCCAACTGCTAATCTAACCCAAACCAGGGATGAAGTACTTCAGCAAATTAAAAGATGAAGTGTTGTAGGAAATAAGAGGCAAAGGTCTAATGAGTGCATCACACTCCAGGTTTCATGTAGTTTGCTTTCACATAGCTCATTTTTTTCCCTTAATGATTTTGATGAAAGCATGTTTTATTAAACAACACACTAATACAAATGCAACCTCTGGATTGCTCCAGCTGCTTTAAATTTTGCTCAACTTTTCCCCTGTAGGGGTGTTAAGTTGATTTAATGTTCTGATACACTGAAATACTCTTAATGTTTAGGAAGACAAATCTTAGGTACAGGTCATAAGGAGTAGGAGTCTGCATGTGCACATTTCTTCTTGGGTCTCTTTTGGAAAGTATTGCTTTAAAGGGAAAAAAAATACTCTGAAATAACACATAATCTTACTTTGTTGGAGAAATCTTTAAATAGGGAGTATCAAAAACATCAGCTTTGATCTTCAGGAAATGTCATGAGACTCAACCTGTTTGTTTACAGCAAAAGCAATGTGCTTTGTAGTCTGTTACTTGCTTTTGATTCAAGGCCCCCAAGTAGCTGTTTCTGCATTGGTGGCAGAGCTGTGCTAGAGCACAGATTAACTGTTAATTTTATTAGATTTCTCTTACACCTGTCTTAAACATTTAGGAAATGACTTTGTAACTTACAGTTCATTTTCTCCATTTATGAATTTGAAAACACTGCTTTTGAAAGAATCAAGCTTGATGCACAGCTTTTGCTTCAGGGATTCTTCTTACCACATTCCTTCAGTGTCACACGATCTTTCTGAGGTGGCCTGAAGCTTTACCAAAGTGAAAGGAACTGCTGTTATCACTGGGAGACAAAGTGCTCTGTGTGTGTTGTATCTGCCTATATTTGTTGTCAAGGAACTCACCTCTGAATACTGCCATGTGTTTTCTGATCTGCTGCTTGTTTTTCTGAGTGACAAGAATACAGAATTAAAAATAAATTCATATACCCCTCCCTTTTCAAGGTACACATAAAAGGGTTACAGTAGACCTGAACTCTCTGCTCTGAAACGGAAACTCAGTTTTTGTCCACAATTCAGTCCTTTTGCCATAGCCTGTGATATGTTTCTCTGCTGCTGGGGATATATCTTTCTCATAACTGCCAACCAGCCTTTGGATTTGTATGTGCATTCTCTTTGTTTATGAAAATAAGTTTTTTTCCATAAGCTTGTAAATCTGGCAGCTAAAGACCTGCATCTGTCTTTATTTTGAGGCTGTCTTCTAATAAGACTTAGAATTTACAAACATCTTATGTGCAGTCGTGGCATAACTTCAATTCTGTGGCTTTATAAATAGTGCTGGTAATTCATTACATTTTCACTGCCATTTTTTCTTCAGTAGCTGAGAGAATAAGCCCCTGCGGTGGCCAGGCGTCTTCTGCATGGGGTTGTGAAGAGCCAGTGTTTCTGAACTAATTGCTTTAATTTGCTATAGAAAAGGCTTTAAAGTTGCTTTTGGTAGCTACACAGATGAATAACTGTCTTAAATATTTTGCTGAGCAATACTCAGCTTCTGCTTGAGATGACTGCATTGATTTTGAAGAACTTCTTAAGTTTTATTTGCCGAATTTTTATTTGCATAGTTTTGTGCATCATCAAGTGAGTGCACAAGTTCAGAGCTTTTGTGCAAGCAAAGTTGCAGTAACTGTGTCAGCATTTTTATATGAAGGTAACAGTCATGAAACTTTGTTTTTAAAATAGCCTTTTATTTGGTTACTTTTTGTGCAAGTAAAGCTTGGTGATTTTGTGTTCATCAAATGAATAATGCATCCCTGTGCAGTGAGGTTTTGCTGGGAAGCAGTTAAGAGTTAACAGTTGTGAAGTGCAACATACAGCATGATAGATGTGCTTTTGTAACTCAAATCTCATGTATCTAAAAATTAAAAAGTAGTAACAAACTCAAACCCCTTACGGAAGAATCTTTAGGCTTTTGCAAGATGGGAAAATGTTTGCTAATACAAGCTATGCACTTCTGTGTTTTCATTTATATTGTTGGGTACTGTTGCACAACACATAGAATAAGTACAAATTATTCAGGAAAAGGTAAGATAAAATATGATGTTACTACGAGTCCTGAGCATCTGAAGTAGGACATGTTCAAGGTGCTTCACTGGTAAGTATAATTTGAGGAGCACCATCCACTGGCCCAAAGAGTCCTGAAGCCTAGGGATAAGGACACACATATCACAACCTTTTTGTTGCTCCTCCTCCTTCCTCCTATGCTTTTTTCCCCTCTCTCTTACAATAACAGCTGTTTGGTGTTGTCTAAATAGGTTTCAAGGTAAATTTTTGAAAGGAAATGGCTATCTCCTAAAACAGATTGGCTAATTGACAGCTATTAGGCCTTTATGTCCTTGGTGACTATGATGCTGCATGTATCTTGTTGGAGGAATAAAGATTAAAACGGTTTCAGAGACCATTAGTTGTTTCTATATCCCTTTGTGAAGATGAATTGTGTTTCAAATGACTGCATTGAGAAAACAAGGCAAATGGCCTCTAAAATGACTTGGTTTCATCCCATTTGTTTTTAAATGAGGAAGGAAGTAGGCAGCCACTCTGAGTTTGGCATAAGAAGTGATGTTTTATGAGAACTTGTTGTAGAATAATAGACTGGTAAATGCAACCTTACAGTGGTTTCTAGTGAAACATTATTCACTTACCCTACAGTTTGCAGAAATAATAGAAAAGACCAGGACAAGAAATCTGTCACCTATGCCAGTAGATCCAAGGGATCCTGGATCTCTGCTGAGTGACTCATGGAAGAGTTTATCTGTAGCTTCCTTGTGGAGCTTCCTGTGTGAAAGATTCCTAGCAAATGCAGATTTAAAGAATTAATACTAAATACCTGATTTTTTTTTTGAATGCCTAAAAGGAGACCTGAATGACCAGTAGAGCTCACAGGGCTTAAGTGATCATTTTGTAAATGCTGCCACAATAGCTCTTTTCTTATGGTGGTAGTTGCAGTGCTGAAATGAATATTGACTGTTCCCTATGAAGCTGAGAAGAGGTAGTTGTGAATTTAAAGGAAGGAGTACCAGTGATCAGTGAGGAAGGTGCTGTGTGTGTGGCTGGATGCATATATGTCCCTGGCATGTTCCAGACATATTTCTAAATGCAGCTCTAACAAGTGTGACTTAAAACAGTAATTACTCAGTAGCTGAAAGCTGTCATTCCTCCTGCTTGAGGCAGGCAGTTCACTTTGATAATTTGCACACATTAAAGGTTATGTACCCTGGGAATCGTTGTAGTAATCACTGAATTATTTTTTGGATGAACTTTTGGAAAATAATGTATTAAAATAGCTCACATTTCTTGCTTTTAAATATTATTCTTGAAAAAAAAGCAGAAAAAGAAATCCCAAGGGAAAAAGTAGATTTGTTTTTGGTACCAGTAATTGTTTGTAATTTAATCTGTCACAGCAATTTCTGCTGAAGTCATACCATGTTTTTCTGTGTTTTTTAACATCACTTACAGAAGTTTTATCAAGCAAACTCTTGTTTAAGTGATGTTATTTTGTGTGGGGTGTGTGTGCAAACCTCTTGCCTAGAAACAGTAGAAATGTTCTTTCAGTGATGAATATGTTTGTGTTCATGACTTGGTCTCAACCATGCATAGAGTTGTTACGTCTTATGTAACAACTTCATGTCAGGGTGGTAGTTTGTTATTTCAGATGAAACCTGTTGTGTATGTGCTGGAGGTCTGAAACTTAAAGCTGGTGGCAAATAGGAAAATTCCTATTTTAACCTCTGTTGCAGTAGGTGCTGAGACAAAACTTCTGTTTTCCCAGAGTAGGTCTTACATCAAATGAACATCAAGTTAAACATTGAAAGCTCCTCTTTGTGTAACCACAGAATAATGAGCTGTCACTGATTCAATAACACCTTCTTAACTCCACTTACAGAAATATAGACAGTTAAGGGGTTGGAATGGACCTTAGAGACCATCTTGTCCCAACCCCCTGCCCTGGGCAGGGACACCTCCCACCAGAACAGGTTGCTCAAGGCTTTATCCAACCTGGCCTTGAACACTGCCAGGGTTGAGGCATCCACAGCCTCTGTGGGCAATCTGTGCCAGTGTCTTACCACCCTCACAGGAAAACCTCTTTTTCCTAATATCTAATCTAAATCTCTCCTCTTTCAGTTTATACCCATTACTCCTTGTCCTGTCACTACAGTTCCTAATGAGGAGCCCTTCTCTGGTTTTCCTGTAGGCCCCTTCCGATACTGGATGGTTTCTATGAGGTCTCCATACAACCTTCTTTTCTCCAGGTTGAACAACCCCAACTTTTCCAGCCTGTCATTGTAGGGAAGGTGCTCCAATCCTCTTACCAGATTCCTGTGTTTAAGTGGAACTGTCAGTTCTTGGTATATGTCTGTCTTTTGCAGGAAGAATCCCGTGCACTTCCAGCAGTTCAGTCACCCTAATGATGATGACTATTATGATGTGGAGATGGTAGCTCAGGAAAACGATGACACCCGGCCTGAATGTCCTTATGGAACAGCTTGTTATAGGTGAGAGACACTGTGCAAAGTGGCTTTTCTTGTTTGTAGGTTGTTCTTGATTTGTAACTTTTAGTTTACATTTTGACAAAGTATTTGTTGAGATTTTGTACAAAAACTATTTTAATCAGTATTTGATTTATTAGCACAATTGAGGTAACAACAATAAAATCCAGTTTCTGGCTGGCTGTTGTTTCTTTTAAGTTGATTTTCTTCAAAATATTGTTTTATTCCATATGTTTTTCAGTTCCAAGTTTAACACTTTTATTTAGCAGAGTTTAAGAGGAAAGGAGACACCCATGAAACAGTGAGGCAGCAGATACAATTTGAAGGATTTTCATGTTTACAGTTGGCCACTGCTTGAAGGGAGTGTAATTCAGTGATCTAAATGCTGTGCCTTGAAAATTATCCTTAAAATACCAGGGAAGTCTGGGCTTGCTAAGTGTGGAACAAGGTGATGAATCAAGCTTTTACTGTTTTCTTTGCAGGAAAAATCCACAGCACAAGCTAGAGTACAAGCACAGTGCTCCTCCAGGTATGCCAAGTTTTCTAATATTGCTCAAAGTTGGGGAGAAAACCCCAAACCACAGTAATGGATACCAAAAACTTGGAATGAAATGCTTAAATCTACTTTAAGGGAATAATGCTTCATTTAGAGCCTACTCTGTACTTGGATTTTTTTCTTTTGATAAAAATTCCTCAGGTAAGATGCAATTTAAAAATATTTTCATGCTCTAAAGCAAACATTGCAACCATGTCTGTCATCTTTTTTTTATTTTATCTGATTTAGTTTTTTTTACCTGTGATTTTCTTACTGCAAGAACTACTTCTGCACATATGTTCTCTTGAGGCTTGAAGGGAATGTGACTAAACCTGAATCTGAGTTTCTATTCTAACACTTTTTAGTCTTTTTATATTCCAGTAACTTGACTTGTTGAAAAACACGGGGGAATGTGCTGTTTACATTTTGTCTGTTCTTAAAGAATTGAAAGAGACACTTTTATTTTTGGTGCTTTTTTGTTAATTACTGGATTTGGAGGTTTTTTTCCTCACATGAAATCCCAATGCAATTAACAGTAGTTTAGAGCAGAACAGTTACGGAAATGTAATATAATGTATTTTACTGTAAAGACTCAGGATTATGACATTATTAAGAAGGAATCACAGTTATGGAAACAATAGTGTAAAGTATTTAAACGCTTTGAAATACTCGAATTTTCTGCTTAGAAAGACCCAACCAGTATTGATGACATTTGTTTACAGATGGCATGGATCATAATTTTAAGAACAGTAATGTCTTGGAAATGATTCAAGACAAAAAAAGTGGGGGTTTGGGCAGCAGAGTAGCTTTTATACTCGTAAGTGCAGCACAACCATTGCAGCATTTTCTTAATAGGTGAGTTTTTTTACTGTAGTAGCCTCTAGGGACAACCCTCATGCTAGGAGTGCTCTCTGTCCTGACTGACAACTTCTCTTTCTCTAGTAACCGGAAGAGGAACCCAACAACGAACTTCAAGAAACAGTGAGTGCATTCTAAAGTTATGAATGGGCACATCAGGATGTCGCTAAATCAATTTTTCCTTCCTTACACAGGGGCCATAATAGGACGAAAGGAAGCAAACATTTCATCCACAGCTAGTTGAGATTGGCTCATAAAGATTGATTTCTCCTGAAAGATGCAGATATTCCTTCTGCAGTGCATTGGCCTTTAAATAACTTTCAAGCGATAATCTGTGCATGTGCTGAGGAACTTTTCTTACACTTATAAGGAGCTATTGATATTTCAGGTTAGGTACTGGCTTGTTAGGACTGTAGTGTAGAAGTACATTTATGTTGTGGGTGCATAGACTGCTTATAAATATGCTTTAGGTCTGCTGCCAGGGTTTGCTTGTGTCTCAGCTTCCAAATGTGCAGCTTCCTGTTCTTTCTAAAGTAATTTAGTCTGATGCTGTATAGTCTTCACTTTGACTGGCCTGAGCAAGGCAGGAGTGCATGGAACTGCTGCATCTTGACTGGGAGCTGGTTTGGCTCCTTGAGATCACCAATGTGTGGCTAGGTGTTTCCTAAAGAAATCCTCAAAATAGATTTGCCCTCTAGAGAAAATAAATAAAAGAGCAAATAGCTGTAGTTAGTTTTCTAGGCAAAGTGTTTTGGCCTCCATTTCTGTTGTAGGTGAAATTCAATCTGTCAAATTCAACTCTTCTTACTAAGCAAGAACCAGGGATTCCTATTGTGTTAGGAATTAAAAGCCACGTCACATTCCAAAGACTAAGAGTATAAAACAGCCCTAAGTAAATATGGATGGATGAAAGAAGGTAGAAATCTAGGATCAAGGTAGCCATCTAGCAATAGCTAGAGGCTAAATTGAGAGATAGCTGTCTGGTTTAGGTGATTCTTTATCCTCTTGAGGAGAGAGACTTAACTCAGTGGGCTCTTGGAGGGCTCATGAGTTCTGCATCTCTGATTCATGAATACATGACATTTTTGTCCCTTCAGGAAAAAGGACTGTGGAGAAAGACAGTGCCAATGATGATGAACCTAATGAATATGACCTCAGTGACAGCTTTATAGATGATGAGGAAGAAGAGTGTGAACCTACTGATGAAGACTCGGACTGGGAACCAAGTTCAGAAGAAAAGGATAATGAAGATGTAGAAACACTTGTGCAAGAAGCACGTAGATTCGTTAAGGCCAAAAAATAGCTGCTTGGAACAACACTGAATGTCCAGTTTGGCTGTGTTAAAACATGGTTGCACAAAGGAGAGGAATTGTTTGAAAACTGTTTTTTCTCAGTGATGTAGGTGCTACAGGAAGATTTTAATGGGGGTGATGGGATTCAGCAATGCCTTTCTTTGCCCATAGGTATTATTTTTCAGGTTGGGTGGTGTTTGTTTTGTTAAGTGGTGGACCCAGAGGATGGAGCTCTCAAAGTTTTTCATTGGGTTTTTTCTTTTTTTTTTTCCTCTCATCTATTTGTTTTGCAACACCATTGGTGTCTCTTCTTTTGAAATGCAATTTTAAAGGTTGTTTAAGCTTCATCTTCCTGTGCTTGAAAGAATTATTGGCATTAGGAAAATCTAAACCATTTTATAATGTTTTTTTGAGTTAGTGCAGTCATAAACCTTGTTATTCTGCTCCCAGCTTTTGTTTTGGGTGTTGTTTTGTTGGTTCTGAGGTTCAGTAGTTAAATACAGGTTGTCTGAATCACTTGAGAGCAGTTTCTCTGTGTATCCAACCCCTTGGTTGACGTAACAGCAGTTATGGTGTGTTTGCTTTAATGGTGGCATTACCTCTTTCCATGCCTGTACGTCACTGGATCTATGTCCTATTCTCAGCAAAGCTGAAGTCTTGATGGCTCTATTTTTGCACAATTAAACTTGTAACATACAGTAAGAAAAAACATGTAACTGTGTCTCTGTGATTTCTAGTGTTGTTGTTGGAAAATCTTGCCTTCAGAGTGTTCACCACTTCCCTGAGCTTCCTAGAAATAAGTTAAAGAGGTTTAGTATGTTTTGGGACAGATGACTGGAGCTGTGTGAATTTGA